ATTCCTCTGCCGCTTGTTTGTACTGCTTCATCCGGCCTTCCTTTGCTTCGTACGATCCCTCCACCTGGCCCATTACCAGTTTGGAGTCGCACTTGATTCTGAGGTGCTTGGCTTTGAGGCCGGCGGCGAGTCTGAGACCGCTGAGGAGGGCCTCATACTCGGCTTCGTTGTTGGATACCCTGAAGTTGAAGCGGATGGCATAGTAAGCTCTGAATCCTTCAGGGGATATGAGGACGCCGCCGCCGCCGCATGATTTCGCGGCCGACGAGCCGTCAGTGAACAGGGTCCACGTATCGTCCAGCTCCGGCCCGGAGTTGGCGACGGCCGTCTCCCTTGTTGTGCATTCAATGACGAAGTCGGCCAAGGCTTGCCCCTTGATAGATGGCCTTGGCTTGATCTCAATCTGAAACTGGCTGAGGAAGATCGCCCATTTCACCATCCTCGAGGAACTAGTAGGGCTCCTCATGAGCGCGCCGAGAGGCTGCTGGGTCAGCACATGGACGGCGTGGGCTTGGAAATAGTGCCCCAGCTTCTTTACGGTGTGGACGATGGCCAGCACCGTCTTCTCAATGGGGGAGTACCTGAGCTCAGCCTCCCTAAGCGTCTTGCTGATGTAGAAGATGGCCTTCTGCACCCCTTCGTCCTCTCGGATGAGCACGGAGCTGATGGCCGACGTGCTCACCCCTAAGTACAAGAAGAGGGTTTCGCTGGCTTTGGGCTTGGAGAGTACGGGTGGGGACGACAGGTACCTTTTCAATTCGTCGAATGCTTCCTGACACTCCGTCGTCCACTTGAAGCTGTTCGCCTTGCGCATGATTTGGAAGAAGGGAAGTGCCCTATCGGCTGACCTGGAGAGGAACCGGTTTAAGGCCGCCAGGCGCCCCGTCAGTCGCTGTACCTCCTTGACGTTGCGGGGCGGCTCCATGTTGATGATAGCCTGCGTCTTCTCCGGGTTTATCTCGATGCCTCTCCGGCTGACCATGTAGCCAAGGAACTTGCCGCCTTGGACGCCGAAGGCGCACTTCTTGGGGTTAAGGCGGAGCCTGAACTCCTTCATGATTTCAAAGATTTCCCGGAGGTCGTCGACGTGGGAGGTGGCCTGCCTGCTCTTGACGATCATGTCGTCGACGTACGCCTCCATCGTCCGGCCAAGGACCGCTCTGAAGATTTTGGCCACCATCCTAGTATAGGTGGCGCCGGAGTTTTTGAGTCCGAAGGCCATGACGAGGTAGCAAAATATTCCCTCTGGGGTCATGAATGCCGTCTTCTCGGCGTCATCTTCGTGCATGGAGATCTGGTGGTACCCTCTGAAAGCGTCGAGGAACGACATCAACTCGCACCCCGCCGTCTCGTCCACCAACTGATCAATGTTGGGGAGAGGGAACGGGTCCATGGGGCACGCCTTGTTCAGGTCAGTGTAGTCAACACACATTCTGAACGTCGGCGGTTTCTGTGCGAGGACGACGTTGGCCAACCATGTTGGGTACTTCACCTCTTTGATATGTTTGATCGATAGGAGCATGGCGACCTCCCCTTTGACGAAGTCCCGCCTGTCGGCGGACAAGTAGCGCCGCTTCTGTTTGACAGGCGCGGAGGCCGGATCGACGGTCAGCCGGTGAGTGATCACCTGGCGGCTGATGTCTGGCATATCGTCCGGGCCCCACGCGAAGACGACGGCGTATGACCGTAGGACGAGGAGGATGGCGTCTCGTTGGTCCTGGGGGAGTTGCTTTCCGACCCTGAGAACCCGCTCCGGCCGGGAGGTATCCAGAGGGATTTCCTCGGCCTCCTCGGCCGGCTCCGCATGTGGCCTTTTCTCGTTCATGGCGACGGCGGCCGTAGTGGTGTCTATCCGCTGTCCTTCCCTTTCGGCCGGCCTCGTTAGCTTGAGGTAGCAAGCTCTGGCTATCCTCTGATTTCCTCTGGCGTAGCCGATGCCGTCATTGGTGGGGAACTTCAAGCATAGGTGCTTCATGGAGATGATGGCCTCCAAGTCCTCCAGCGCTGGCCGGCCCAAGATCAGGTTGTGGGCGCACTGGAGGTTGACCACCATGAACTCCATGTCAATTTTGGCATGGTGGGGGCCGTCACCGACTTCCACGGGGAGGACTATCGTGCCCTCGGCGTCGATAGAGTCCCCGGTGAAGCCGGATAACGGGGTCTTGATCGGCTTCAGCAGAGCTCTGTCCAGCTTCAGCTGCTTGAAGGTGTCTAGGTACATCACGTTGACGGAGCTCCCCGTATCGATGTAAGTACGGTGGATGATGGAGTCACCGATCTCACATCGGATGACGAGGGCGTCCCTGTGTGATTCCGTACCCGGAGGCAGATCCTTGTCGGTGAAGGTGATCGCCTCCGTCCGCTACTTCTTCGGCTGGGGGGAACGTGGGACACCTCTCCAATGTAAAGGGATTGGGCCCATTTCTTTCTCTGAGTGGCGGAGTCCCCCCCAGTGTTTCCACCTACGATGAGGTGGATGTGATTCTTCTTCGGCGGTGGCTCTTCGAAGTCCTCGTCGTCACTGAGCCTGCCAATCTCGCGTTTCTTCGCAGAGGGTTCGCCCCCATGTCTGCCGGTGTTTACCCAAGTGTTCTTAAGTGGGCCACCTTTGACAAACTGGGAGAGTTCCCCCTGGCGGATAAGGCGCTCGATGGCCTTCTTCAATGTGATGCAATCGTCGGTGTTGTGCGACGAGTTCTTGTGGAACCGGCAGTATGTGCCGCCCTGCTGGATGGCAAGGATCTCCTCGGCCGGCCGAGGAGCCTGCTCGATGAGGCCGTGCTTCTCGGCATAATCGAGGATGGTGCCGACCAGGTGGGTGAGGGTTACTCCCGGCCGTTCCAACCTCGGCCGCCAGTGGCGGTCTTTCTTACTTTGTCCACCAGAGCCGTGGCGGCCCTGGGCACCCTGGCCGACCGGGGACGGACCCGGGGCCGGCGAAGGATTTGTCCTCTTGGGGGGATGGCCCCCTTCTCTTTTGTGATTGTGGAGCTCGTCGGCGTCGTCATACAAGCCTCCGCGCTGGAGCGCTTTGGTGTACGACCTCGGGGGGTCGGTGATGAGGCTCCTGGCGTACGAGGAGCTGCGGAGGGCTCCCTGGTATAAGGCGAGGAGGGTGCGCTCATCGGCCCCCTCGACCTCCTCGGTCTCCCTCGTCCACCGGTCTATGAATGACCGGAGAGACTCCTCGTGCTGCTGTTTGACGGAGAGGAGGTGGGTGAAATACTTCTTGGCGCGCTTCCTCCCGGCAAAGTGAGTGAGGAAGCGCTGGGCGAGATCTTGCCATGAGTCAATGCTTCCCTCTGGCAGTCCGTTGAACCACTCGTACGCTGGCCCCTCGAGAGTAGAGAGGAACCAACGGCAGAGGTATTCGTCGGACGCGTTCACCATCAGCATGTTGTTTTGATAGCGGCTGAAGTGCTCCTGGGGGTCTGATCGGCCATCGTAGGACTTGATGGCGTTCCCCCTGTACTTCTCAGGGATGGGGGCCGAGAGGACCCTGTTGGTGAAAGGGGTCCTAGTCCTGACCTGGACGATGGGGTCACCTCGCCCTTCGGCCAGCTCCCTCTCCAGGGCGCTGACTTTGTTCATGAGCGCGTTGAGGCCGGGGTCGTTGGATGCGCCGGCCGTAGGGATGTTGGCCGACTGCTTGGCCTCCATCTGAGCCAACCTCCTTTCCAGCTGGGCGATGACTTCGTCCCGGGGGTCCCTGTCGGCCGCGGCGGCACCCGGCTGGTTCCTCAGGCGCTCGTTGTGAGCCGCGTTGATCTGGTGACGCACGTCATCCTCGTGCAACCTCCCCTTGCCCTTGTCCGGGCGGGGCTGGTCCGCTGTCCGGGACACAGACCCCAAACTCTCCCTCGGCGAGCCAGGACGAGGATCACCAATCCGTCCCGCCATCCTCTCCGAAACCGGACGACCGCGCGTGTCACCTAGCCTATTGAAGGCAGAGGCTTTTCCACGCGCTGGGGTCTGCCCGGGCCGAAGAGGGGAAGCAGGGTGGGAGTGGGACGACGCCGTGTCCTGGGCCACAACCCCCTCATTGTTGCCTATCTGGACGGCCAACGGTTGGGGATGAGGAGGTGGAGTGACGTTCCCCCCGGTCCTTGGCAAGAGTGCGCTAAGGACGGTGGGATTCTGAGCCAAGCTGGCGATGATAGCCGATAGTGCAGCCTGGACCTGAGGATCTACGGACGGAGAGGCCGCGGCCATAGGCTGGGCCGGGGCGTGGTCCGCTTTCTCAGCTCGCTTCTTTTCTAGGCCGAGGCGGGCGTCGGAGACTCCGCCGTTGAGTTGGTTGCGGAGGTCCGTCGTGAGGTTGAAGGCCTCCTGGAAGAGGTCCCCTCCGCCGACCTGGTCGGCCGTGGCGTCCTCATCGTGCTCCCTGGGCTCCTGGTCCTCAGGGATGACTTTGCTGACGAGGTTGCGGTTTGACTTAGTTCTCCCCATGATCAGTGGTTAGCTGTGCTCGGTAGCGACGAAGGGTGCTAACTTGATTGTTCTAGCTCTCAACGAAAGCACCAAATGATAGAGTATATCTCCTAGATTCTAGAGAGAAGTGAGAGCTAGAGAGAGAAGTGCAATAATATGCTTCAATAGAATGATCTTGTAACCCCTATAACTACTCCCAAAGGGAGTATTTATAGAGAAAATTAGGGTTGGGCTCCCAAGCCTTGGGCTTGGGAGGCCCATTTACAACTGGACCGCTACTGGGCCGAATACAAAGCCTCCAATGGGCTGTACAAATGAGTAAGTATAAAATCCGATTCTGGGAGGTCTTCGTGGCCGACGAGGGCGTGGCCGACGAGGGCACGGCCGACGAGGGCACCCGGGTTCCTTGGGTTCAGGACCGTAATCCGAGTTGGTCCCTTTTCGGCCGACGGGGGCGTCTTGGCCGACGAGGGCGCCACTCTGCTGTCTTGTGCTCTGTTCTTCCGAGTATGTGGGTCCTGGAGCTCAGACCCATATACTCCATCAAAAGGTTAGCTAATATAAATCACCTGGTTTGCCACCATTCAGTACATTGCTTTCAGCTGGCTCCATTCCATATATCTGTTTTTTTTCTCCAAAAAGCAATAGATTGATAAATATATAAATCTGAGAGCATCTATCCAGCTGAACTGATCAAAGGAATGTGATTGGATGAAGCAGGATATAAGCACCTTAACATTGGGGTTTTGGGATTTGAGGTATTGTCCAACGCCAGAGACAGTTCCACCACTTCCAATTCCCATAACAAAAATGTCCACATTACCCTGTGTGTCCTCCCATATTTCAGGACCGGTTGTGTCGAAATGTATCTGGCATTCCAGCAGCAATCCATCCATTTAAACATCAATTACTTTTCTTTTCTTTTACTATCGATCAATCAAGTGGGGGATGATAGAGAAAAAGGGAGCAATAAAATACATACTTGAGTATTTGCAGGATTGGAGAACTGCTGAAGCATAAAAGCATTTGGTGTGGATTCCAGAAGCTGGTAAGCTTTCCTCACTGTTCCACCCATACCCTTGGTTGGGTCTGTAACTATTAAATCAGCTCCAAATGCTTTCATTGTCACCCTCCTCTCAATGCTGGTATATGAGGGCATTGTCAAAACCATCTTGTACCCTTTCATCGCAGCCATGAATGCCATACTGATACCCATATTTCCAGATGTCGGCTCTATTAATGTTGTCTACAAGTTCCATCCCCCCAAAAGCATTATTGATATTTATAATAAAAAGTTAATTGAAAGTTGATCAACTTAGTTATTTGCCACTGTGATTGTAATGAGCAATTTCTTGAATCCAGAATGATACACTAGCACCTATTAATAAAGGATATGGAAGATAAAACCTGTCCATCCAAATCACTAAAGAATGTCCATGTAAGACTTAAAACTTCATGATTTTTTTACTTTTATATAATTCTCAATGATATTCAATTTGTCAAGAGTTATAAATTTTAGTGAAGACAAATTAATCGAAAATTAGCACAGAAGTAAATAAAAAATCAAAGAACTCAAAATCCATGATAGCATTGAGAATTATAAAAAAGTCAAAAATCATGAAAGTTTATGTCAAACTCGTGATGCCTCATACCAATACAGTTACATAAACACTTAACCTCAATTATATACCAATTTATGTTCACCCATTGAAGTAGGCAAGTGATTCTAAAAGAGTTGTATAAGTGTTACCTTCCCAGGTGAGATCAGACCTTTCTTTTCTGCGTCTGCAATCATTGCCATTGCAGGCCTGGTAGCAAAACAGATTAGAGTGTGAAGACATTATGAGCTATCCATGTTAATTAATTGAAAATGAACACAATTAATACATACCGATCCTTGATGCTGGAAGTAGGCTGCATCATCTCTTGTTTTACAGCTATATATGCACCACACCCTTGTGTAACTTTATTGAGATAAACCAGAGGCGTCCTCCCAATCAACTGAAATGTACATATGGCATTCATTCATTCATCACTTGTATTTTATTATATGTACACTTTTTAGGCCGGATAAGTAATAGATCAGAAACCAAAACGGAAGCATCTAATGGTAGTTGCAGGTGGGTACCTGAGAAACTTCCCGCTTGATGTTAGTGGCAGGGAAATCCTTGGGTAGAGCCCTTAACATCTGAGCAAAAGAGTGGTCCGGGCCAGCGGTGAACAATCTAGTGAAGATCATCAGACCATAGCCGATGCTGGGTTGGATGGATGCATATGCACTTCTTCTCCTGCTCAAGTTCACCGCAGCAGCCATTGAATGAAGAAGATCAATACAACTTCAGGCCGACTGCGAACTCGCGCCAATAAACAATAATTCAATCAAATCGTGATGCGTGCGAAGAATTGAAGGTTATTTTCTTTTCTGGATCGATCTTTTGCTTTCATTCAAACTTGGCACAATCCATTCCTGTATGTATTATGTATGTATATTTCTACTTTATTTTGGAAACTGACACCTGCAACCAGTGGCGGACCAGCCATCGCCATCGCCTAGTGGACACCACACTTCAATACATGTAAAATGCTAACTTCTGAATCTAGTCACTTCTCTATAAACGGTACCAACGTCAACCTACAACTACCTCCATCCACATCCCTTCACTTTCCCCCCTAAATAATGCTAAGTAAACAAATCATTACCAAATTTGGGTTAAAACTATTTCCTAAAACTAGTAATGTACTCGTAATACATACTCTCTCCGTCCCGGAAAATTAGTCTCATTTTGACTTTTGGATCGAATTTTAAGAAAAGTTATAAAATGCTTTGACTTTTCCAAAGTGCCCCTAAAGTAAAATTAAAACAAAAGGAGAAAGGAATTGCGGCGGGGGATTTACTGCACCCAAAAATTTACACTATACATAACAGTACCCCTTCGTACTACACTCGTTTCCCCCCTAAAGTTCTCTCTTTTTTTGGGAAATCTTCTAAATTAACCGTATCTATAAATACACATTTCAAATGTTCCCTCCCTCCCAAAAATTCACTACACACTATCACACACTTCACGCAGCATTTATGGCCGCAAACAGCAGTGACGCCCAGACAACTTCTTCCCCCACTTCAGCTTCCATTAATGAAGAGTTGTCTTCAGGTGCAGTGAATGGTCCTTCCTCACCAACTGCCATAAATGAAGCCCTGCACACACCAACAAACGGCCAAAGCTCAAATATCAAAGCAAGAAGACTACAAAACTGTGAACGAGAGAGTATAGTTGATGAAATTCTAATCAGTGCAACAAGAACATATTCTGGGGAGGTGATAGCTCAGCATGGTGTTCTAAATCAGCTTGCCACCAAATATTCAGTGACCAGAAAAACTATTTTCAGGATCTGGACCAAAGCCAAAGAGCAGATTCAAAAGGGGGAAGCAATAGATGTCAAAACCAAGTGGATGAGAAATTCAGGTAGAAAAAGAGTGTTGTTTGATGTAACCAACATTTCACAAATCCCACTGCACAAAAGGACTAACATAAGAACACTTGCTTCGGCCAGTTCAGTTTCAAAGTCAAGTATTCATAGATTGGTTCAGAGAGGTGTGCTTAGAAGCCATACAAATGCTATTAAGCCTTTGCTAAGTGATGCAAATAAAATTCACAGATTGATGTTCTGTTCCAGACAAATAGACAAATCAATTCTGTGAAATCCAGTATTTAAAAATTTCCATAATGTGATACACATTGATGAGAAATGGTTTTTCTTGTCAAAACATCTCAAAGATACTACATGGGACAGGAAGAAATGGATCCACATAGGGTATGCAAGTCTAAAAGATTCATAACCAAGGTCATGTCTGTTAGGAAATTGATGTAACGTACCTCGAAAGTACGGCAGCGGAAGTTTAAAATTTTCCCAAACAGATCTTCCATGATTATGACAAAACAACGAATATAGCAATAATAACAGATCTGAGTTAGAACTTACAGATCTTCCAGCCTAGCGGTGATAATCCTTGACCTTAGGTATCACGTGATTTCTCCTTTCCGAAAGAACGGTTAGATCTTCCAAAGAGAAAGGCTAGAAAATCTCTTCGCAGGGAAATAAACTCGCAATAGTGAATCTAGAAAAATGGTCTAAATAATTATGAAGGAGGAGGATGTATTCATACTAGTTCTAAACTAGTTTTCCCAATCACAATGAAAGTCTTCCTAATTAATGAGTTCTAGTTCAACTATAACCAATACCATTTATTAACTAAATAAAGATATAATAATAAATAATAATAATAACATTCATCCGTACATAGCAAAGAGGATGGGGGCAGCCGCCACCCTCATTCTCTCAATAGACGTTTTGTTATTATTGTATATTTAACCTTTTCTTGAATACTCTTTAATTCTAAATTGAATCCAAGAAAATATCAATTTTATTTAATTATAAATACATCTTAATTAAGTATAATAAATCTAATTTATTCCACTAAATTAATTCTATCACATAGAACTCTCCTTCAACTTCATGAATTAAATATGTTTAATCTAATTAATATTTAATTCATTTTCAGTATTACGAATTAAATATTATTTAATCCAATTAATAATATTTAATTCTGTTAGTCCCTGTTTCTGCAACAGCAATGAATAACGATCTAACAACGAAGATTAAACGTACGGATGAACACGGATTGAATCAAGTAAAACCCTCTTTGATAGACCGTGAACCCGTACAACACAAATATAAGCGCGTAAGGCTATGAAGAATAAGTACGACGTTAACCTAATCCTAAACCCTCGGCTCCCTTTTTATAGGCGAGGTTTAGGTTAGGCGTACAAGGCTTTTAGCCTGTTTATATGGGCCTAACACTTGGCCCGATTGCTATCTAATTCATGCACTAATTAAATACAAGGATCAAATATAAAGCTAATCTATGACAAACTTGATTCACAATTAAATATCTCCAACAATCTCCCCCTTTGTGATCAAGTGCCACTCTGTTATTGCTTCTGCGACTTGAAGTAGTGCTTCCTCATACCAAGTGCATGTTCATATTGCCTCAGCATATTTCTCTTTTCTAGGCGATCGTCAATGGCCTTTAAAATTGTCTCTACTGTAGAGTGTTCCTTTTGAACATAAGACGATGCCTCTTGAAGATTTTCCTCTAGCTCTGCCTTCATCTTTAGAAGCTGTTCTTTGGTTATCTTTAGCGTTCCGTCACAGTACTTCTCAATTTCATTGACTACCATCAGACGTTTTTCGTTCTTGTGGTTCAGATAGGTGACCGCTGGCGGTGTGAAGAAGATGTGGTAGGCTGGGAAGTCTTCTAGTTCTGGACCATACATTCTTGGCTTTGTCAGATTTGTCTTTTTCAGGTTGCACTCAATAGCCATCTGTAGGTCATGTGAAGAGTGTACTCTGATCTGTCTAAGCATGAATCTCTTGATTGCTGCAAGGCCTTCGCTGTATGTTATGCTCTGCCTGACTGGAAGGTATCTATAGGCCATGAACATTTGATAGATATCGTCGGGTTTAAGCATGATGAAGTCATCCTCTTGGCAAGTAAATTCACTCCCGTCAGTGCGTTGAAGTCTGTAAGTGTAGAATGTTACTCCGTGATAATCTTTAGCTTTCACTTGTAGAATGTGATGAATCGGAAGAATATTTGACTTCAGATCTTGTTCCATCAGTTCTCTCTGAGTACCGGTTGACCTTTGTAGCAGCATATGCAGATGACCTCCAGCCTGCTTTCCTTTTAGATGAGTAAGGCCTCTTAGCTTCAGTTCATTCAGCGGTTTGACTCTGTCTGGTCTACGCCAGATATGCTCTCTGATTTCCTCTTGGAAGGGGGCTTTGATGCGAACGTTATCCCAGGGTTTCTCTGTCTTGGGAAGTCTTCCCGCTGATTGTCTTACGACCGATTCAAGAGTTTTCTGGGATTCCTTGTAGTTCTCCCCTTCCTTGCGTTCATTGTCCTCGAGCCTAATGATATCTTCAGAGCATTTGTTAATTAGCTCTCGTAGCCACCAATTTCTCTGCATGTCCTCTTGTTCAGTCTCATTACGAAGATCATCCCATTCTGTCCATTGTCTCGGCCATTTATCGTATACCACCGCCTCCTCCAGTGCATCATGGATGTCTTTGCCTGGGGAGATGTATGCAACTCTTTGTTGCTTTTGAGGCGGTGATTGTTCCTTGGTAGCACAACCGGGTTCACTTGGATTGCCCGTTGACATCAGCTTAGAACTAGGTTCCAACTGATGGTCTGATGCAGAAGATATACCAGTGGTAACATCATTAGGACTTCCATCCCCTCCTCGGTTGGTATCTCTGGGAGATACGCCTCGGGATGTTATGTCTAGCTCGACCATGCTAGACAATTTGGCTGTGGGTGGTGGCTGTTGGTTTGTCGAGGTTTCGGGTTGGATGGGCTGTGGAGTTTGGCTTGGTAGGGCAGTTTGCTCAAGTGATCGAGGTCGCTTGTTCTCCCCCTCATGAGGATCCGAATCATCGGGGTCCTCATGGGAACGTTTGCGACCACGAGGACTCTCCTTGCAAGTGCTCTTGGTTTCTGGTGAAGAAAGAAGGGCTTCGAGTATGGCTTGCTGATGAAGAGTAAGTTTGTCTTCAGGGGTGTTCAGGAGGTTGTTCAGCAAAGCCGACGCTAGTGTGTCGAAGGATAGTGAGGAGAGATCGATGGAGGGTGTGGTCGGGTGTGGGGAGAATACTGGTTCTGTATCCTGGGTTCCCCGAGAAAGTGAAGGAATGGGAATTTGGTTGATGGATTGGTGAGATCTTTATTAGCTTTATATTTAATCCGTGTATTTAATTAGTGCATGAATTAGATAGCAATCGGGCCAAGTGTTAGGCCCATATAAACAGGCTAAAAGCCTTGTACGCCTAACCTAAACCTCGCCTATAAAAAGGGAGCCGAGGGTTTAGGATTAGGTTAACGTCGTACTTATTCTTCATAGCCTTACGCGCTTATATTTGTGTTGTACGAGTTCACGGTCTATCAAAGAGGGTTTTACTTGATTCAATCTGTGTTCATCCGTACGTTTAATCTTCGTTGTTAGATCGTTATTCATTGTTGTTACAGAAACAGGGACTAACATTTGGTATCAGAGCCGAGGCGTGAAACAGGTTGAATCTATCTGCGATTTTTTTTGGATCTAACGAAGAACTGCTCTGCTTTTCTTCTGTTTTTCTATATGTAGAGATTTGCTCCTATAATCTTGTTTGTGAACGAAATTTTGTAAAAATCATACTGTTGGACTCGCCTTTCAAAATCGGTCCAGCAGCACACCTCCTTTTTCGTTTTCTGCATTTTTTATATTTCGAAGATCTCTACATTGAGATCTCGAAATCCTTATTTTTCACTGCTGCAGAAACGTTTTTGGCTTGAAACTGATACAGGAGAATCTCGACCTTCAAGGCTTTTCAGAACAGGTTTCAGATTTTCAAAAATCGATGTTTTCATTTTGCAGGATTTCGACATTGAGGATCTCGACATCCAAATCTCGAGATCGAGGTTTCGATTTTAAGGTCTCGACTTCTGGTCT